TTGATTGATTTACTTGTGGGGAATCACATATTTTCCCTAACACATGCGTGAACAGATGCTCACACAATTGCACAGTTGTGAATGTTTTGGAACAGGGAAGAAAGCGAGATTTAAGACAGAATATAAGAATACTTCTAAACTAAGTATGCTTACATGGCCAAGGAGGTTGAGGTGGTGATCTGGATGATAGAAACCTCTATTTTTCTTCCTACTCATGATCTCTAACACCAAAACGCCAAAGCTGAATACATCTAATTTTACTGAAAACAATCCATCCACTGCATACTCTGGAGACATGTAGCCACTGCAGAAAAGAGTTAAATGAAGAACTAGATTTTGAAGCAATAAACAAAACATGTTGTATAGATTCTTACTATGTTCTAACCACTTTGTTTGTATTTGCTTCAGTCTCATTTCCCCGAAAACTTCGAGCCATTCCAAACTCTGATATCTTTGGGTTCATGTCAATATCCAGCAAAATATTGCTTGCTTTAAGATCTCTGTGAATAATTCTCTGCCTGGAATCTTGATGAAGATAAAGAAGACCCCGAGAAATCCCATTAATAATGTGGAAGCGCTTTGGCCAATCCAGTAATGTGCTTCGGGTTAGATCTGTCAAAATTTTGTCTGATTTAGTAGTTGTTTGGCATGTGCTAAAATAGCACATGCTATTTTAACACATTATCCTATTTAGGTCACAATCATCTTATTTAAGTCATATCACTTTTCTACTACATCACTTACATGTTAATTGTGGGTCAAGATTCTACCATGATAAACAGGTTGAAATTGGAGTTGAGCAAGTCTTTTGCTATGAAAGATTTGGGACCGGCAAAGCAAATTCTTGGTATGAAAATTGTTCGTGATCGCAAAGAGGGGCTGATTTGGTTGTCTCAAGAAAGCTACATTGATAAAGTTCTTGAGAGGTTCAATATGGATAAAGCAAAGTCGGTTGGTTGTCCACTTGTGGTCACTTCAAGCTTAGTTCGAATCAATGTCCTACAAGTGAGAAAGACAAAGAAGAGATGTTGAAAGTTCCTTATGCTTCAGCAGTTGGTTCTTTGATGTACGCCATGGTTTGTACAAGGCCGGATATTGCTCACGCAGTTGGTGTGGTGAGTCGTTTTCTCTCTAATCCGGGTAAAGAACATTGGGCAGCGGTAAAATGGATTCTAAGGTATCTTCGAGGGACTTCGAAGGTATGTTTGTGTTTTGGGGATGGTAAGCCGATGCTTGATGGGTTCACAGATTCTGACATGGCCGGTGATATTGATTCTAGGAAATCTACTTCGGGGTATTTGATGACATTTGCAGGAGGAGTTGTGGTATGACAATCTAAATTACAAAAATGTGTTGCTCTCTCAACTACCGAAGCTGAATTTATTGCCATTACGGAAGCTTGCAAAGAAGAGTTATGGTTGAAGAAATTTTTGCAAGAGTTGGGTTCGAAGTCAGAAAAGTATGTGCTTTATTGTGATAGTCAAAGTGCTATTTATTTGAGTAAAAATTCTACTTTTCATTCGAGATCGAAACACATTGATGTGAGATGCCATTGGATTCGTGATGTGTTAGATTCGAAATTGTTACAACTCGAAAAGGTTCACACAGATGATAATATTTCAGACATGTTGACTAAGACTTTGTCGAGAGACAAACATTTGAAGTGTCGAACTTTGGCGGGTATGGTTGATATCTCCATTCGTGTCTCGTTTGTAATCATTTGAAAACTTATTTGGTTGATAGTGGAATCGGATTTCGATCTCGTAGACGTACCTCACATTGAGGGAACCACGTAAAAATTTTTGTGTTGCTTTTGATTTAATTTTTCCACATTAGTTTTTATTCCCATTGATTGATTTACTTGTGGGGAATCACATCGATTTTTCCTAACAATTTTTGTCTTTTTTGTTATTTAAGTAATTATATTCATACTTTAAGCATCTCACACTCTAGTAGAAATTAAGTATTGCATTGATATCACTTGACGGTATTATGAACATATAAAAAAAAAATTCTATTGTGATAATGAGGATTGAATAAGTAGAAAATAAAGTGTGTCCAACTCAATTTTACTTGTGATTTTTTATTTACTTTCTTTTTTGTCTTTTAACCAAATTGAAGTGTGAGACGCTAAAAGTGAAGTATTAATATATTTTTTTTTCCTATAACATTATAATGTTTAGAAACCTAAAAGTTTTACTAGAAAAGTGTCTACATTATTCTACAATTTTATGTGGATAGCATTACATTTATTTAGGATGGTCCAGACTATATATATTGTAGATTTTTTTACATTTGTAACACTAATATTCTATTTTTTTTTTTTTTTTTTTTTACCTCAACCTTTATTTGTTCACATTTTTTTAATTTTTTTTTTTTTTTTTGTCAATAAATATGACAGTAAATAAAAATTAGATAATGTTTTACAGAGACAAACATCAATATATGAAGGAGAGCGAAAAAAGTATCGAAGTAAAGTAAATTCATGCCAACAACATTGACACCGAAATGAAAGATCAATCATTAACCAACCCAACATAATACCAATTTAGTAAGAAACCAACCAAAATAAAATAAAACAAAATTTTAAAATACATAAGGAGCAATATTTAAAACCATGATTTTACATTTGAGTTACTGCAAGTCATGAGAAACAAAAGGTGTGAATGGAAATGAAGTCAAATAGCATCAACAACAAAGTAAATTACCTTTACACAATCAAAACCCTATTCCTACAGTGACCACCGTTCAAGCAGCTAAACTCCGGTCATCATCCGACGATTAAGATCGAAGATGACGACGATAAGACAAGTTTGACCGATATAACCAACCCCATGTGACTTTTTTGTAATATTATACTAAGAAACTTCAATCATATATAAATATATATAGTTGTTGTTGTTGTTGTTGTTGTACGCGGTAGGGAGCGGTTATTGCGGCCAAATCTCTTTCTTTGTGTGACATGTTTATCTACAAGAAAGACTTAAACGTTGAAGTTGAATTCTTCAAGTTGTTAATTTATTTATTTTTTAAATTTTTATTGAGGATGAAAATATATTATAAATATTGGGTTAATTTGCTTGAATGCAACTGGACCATTGACATTTTGTTGTGGTGTGTGTGTGGGGTGTGTGTGTGTGCTAGGTGGAGCCATTTGAATTTTAATTAATTTTAAGGAGTCAAATACAGCAGGCTCTCCCTTATAAGAAGAGAACTGCAACTCATGGTTATAAGATAAGAACTTGGAAAGAGATAGAGATTTTGAGAGAGAACAAGTTAGAGAGAGAGAGAGAGATGGAGGTAGTTTCTTTGAGAAAATCTTGTAAAGGAGGTGGAATCAAGGAAGAGAAGCGAGTTGAATCGAGCGGCAATGAAGAAAGTTTCAAGGAAGAGATTGTTCTCAAGGTGAATCATCTTCTTCCCCCTCCTATGAGCATTTTTTATTTTTTTTTCTTTCTTTTGATCGGTAAAGGGAAGAAATTTGGATTAAAAAGAAACTAAAGTACATCACCATGAGCTTGCAATATATTTTTTTTTCTTTCTCTTGCTTGTTCATTCAATTTATGAACCTCTTCAAATCACCACCTTTTGGGAAGTTTTCAATTTTCAAATGAATTATATGAGTCTACAATCTATATGAAGAAGCTCCAAACTTTTTAAATGACAAACGACGACTGGGTAGAAAACATTTACAGATTTGACATGAAGAGAAGTCTAGAATTTTTCTTTTCTTTTTTTTTTCCTCAATAATTATAATCTATCTAAAGGAGATGATGTTATTATTTTCTTTTATATTACATACGCATTTATAAGACTTAAATTCGTTCATTGTAGTTACCAATTTAAGGCCAAGTTTGGCATACACAAAATAATTCATCTTTTTATTTTTTTATCTTTTTTCTATCACATCCCCTCTCTATTTTTTCTACACATAATACAAAAAAAGACAAAAAGTGCACTTATTTAGTCTTCCCAAACTTGGCCTAAATAAGTTCAGGGCAATTATTCTATAATTTTTTTCGAAAGGAAAAGTCCAATGTAGTAAGTATTGGGCCCAATTAATAGTCAATTTTGAAATTGTTTCTAGGCCCAACACGGTTGAGGACTTTTTGAGCGTGTTTATTACTTTCACATGTCGGTCCCAAATTTGACCTGTAGGACAAGACTGAATTGGCAAAGTTTTTGGAAATTTTGGTGTGCAACTTGTTCAACGATGATAAATGCATGAAATGGTGAGGGGAATTCCCTAGGCTACAATACCTAGAAGCGTGGTCAAGGAGTTAAAAATTCTTTCAAAAATTATTTTTTGAAACATCGAAAAAGCTTTATTGATGATCATTAAGTAATATCATTATAAGAGATAACATCAATAAAGACTCAATTGGAGAGGATTCAATCAGAATAACAACAAGAAGAAATTATACAGCAACAAAGACAACAAAATTGTACAAACACCTTACACCCTTCTTCCTTTAATGCACCTTCACACTTGCCTAAGATTAAGCACAAAATCTTGAACTGAAAAACTATGCTCTGAGTAATATGGTCTCAACCATAATGCAACTTTGGGGGTGTTTGGGAACCCACTTTTGAGACTAAAATATCCTCAAACACTAAAAAAGTCAAAAAACCTTAAAAATCCTGAATTAATGATTTATATTTATAAAAAAAAAAAAAAGCAAAGCCGGCAGCAGTGGGACAGCTCTACACTATCATGACAGTGTGTAGGCACGGAATTGTGACAGCCTAGTCTTTGAGGCTGAAATGACAATTTTGCCCCTTTAGACCAATTTTAGAAAAAGTGAAGTTAGAGGCAAATTTGTCATTTCAGCCTCAAAGATCATTTCAAACACATTTTTCAATACAACAACTCAAATAAAAATCCACCTATCTTCCCAAACACAAAAACTAAAATAGCTAAAAAGCCTAAAAAATAGTCACTTCCCAAACAACCACTCTAACTTTTATCACTTCACATGGAGAAGTAAGAGTTAGGGGATGGAGAGAATTGGAAAGAGTTTGGTGGCAATCACAAGGTTTCTGGCGAAGGAGAGTGAGAGATAGCTTTGAGATCAATTTCTACCCTTCTCAAATGCCAACTTGAGCCCCTAGGAAGAGAACCCAACATTTTATTTGTAAACTTGATCGGTGATCTTCTTCCTCTATTCTTGAGAAAATGGTGAAACATCATCTAGGCTCTAAGATTTTCACCCTCTTCTTTCTCTATTTACTCTACCTTTTTGTTTTTGTTCATTGTTAATCCCATTGAAGCGATGCTTCAATAATGCAGGACTTGAAATTGAGCCTTTTTGTCGACTAATTGGGTTCAGTCGATTGGACTGACTCGGACTCGTGCAATTGGCAAAACGTGGGTTGCTCCAAGGACAAACGAGGGGGGTCTCTCCCTTCAACCTTGGCCAACCTCACCGCCTTGCAAACACTCGATGTCGCATCCAACAATCTCAGTGGTCCACTCCCAAGTCTCCATAGCATGAGCTCACTCCAAAACCTCTTGCTCAACAACAATAGCTTTTCTTTCATTCCCTCAAATTTGTTCCTCGGTATGACGTCCCTGGAAAATGTTTATCTTGACAACAACTCCTTCTCAGCTTAGCCCGTACTAGACAGTCTCCGAAGCGCATCGACCCTCAGGGTCTTCTTG